CGCTGTACAATAGCTGACCCTGCGCTCTGACCCCAAGCTTCTCTCTCCCTGTCTGTGTGCCTTTGTGTCTCATGGAGAGCAAGCTGAGGTATGCAAAAATACACATTCCTAATGGAAGAAATTGTATAGGGCTAATAAAGTGATCTAAATTGTAAAAACAATAATATTTATTCTAAAATTATAAATATTAAATATTTACTAAATGTTAAATACTGACAACTAGAGGGCTTAATGTGCAATGCAGGTCAGTTTAATGCAAGACGCATTAAACTGATGAAAGAAGCATTTGCTTTGTGTGTTAAAATATGATCTTCATACTAGAATAATAAAAAATTTCATTCATTTTATAATAATAATTGCTTACACTTATAAAGTGCTTTTCTGGGCACTCCACTCAAAGCGCTTCACAGGTAATGGGGACTCCCCTCCACCACCACCAATGTGCAGCCCCACCTGGATGATGCGACGGCAGCCGTAGTGCACCAGAACACTCACCACACATCAGCTATCAGTGCGGAAGAGAATAGAGTGATGAAGACAATTCATAGATGGGGATTATTAGGAGGCCATGATTGGTAAGGGCCAATGGGAAATTTGCCCATGACTCTGGGGTTACACTCCTACTCTTTTCGAGAAATGCCCTGGGATTTTTAATGACCACAGAGGGTCAGGACCTCGGTTTTACAACTCATCTAAAGACAGCGTCTGTTTACAGTATAGTGTCCCCATCACTGTACTGGGGCATTAGGATCCACATGGACTGCTGGGTGAGCGTCCCCCACAGGCCCTGCTAACACCTCTTCCAGGAGCAACCTTAGTTTTTCCCAGGATGTCTCCCATCCAGGTACTGACCAGGCTCACACCTGCTGAGCTTCAGTGGGTTGCCAGTTGTGAGTTGCAGAGTGATATGGCTGCTGGCCATTTGTGTCCTTTGTCTTGGAATTTTATGGTGGTAGTGGTAGGAATTTTATGGCGGATATGTTAGTTTTCAGGGAAAGAGAAATATAGAAAAAGGATGCGTGCCATACAGTGGTTATATTTTCATAGCACCAGGATTTGTTGTTATCATTAATTTTTCTAAGAGTTCAGGGATTGGATTGTTGCACCCACCAATTGCTCTCTGATGTTGCATATATTGCAGCAGACAAGCACAGGGATTTGATGCCTGTAGATATGAGCCATATGATCCTGTAAAACACAAATAATAATTGTAAATTGAATCAAGAAATTGTAAGGTCACTCAGCAACTTTTCAAAGCAAAGCTGAGAGCTCCATGAAGTTCTATAATGAAACAGCTGTGTGAAATCATATTCAGTAGCTATCACTGTAGAACACTACAAAGAAAGTAAGCAAGTAAGTATGCTGTCGGATCTTGGTCAAAAAGTAGCCTATAATGAATACATTTGCTCAATTCTTATTAAAGACACCAGACAGTTGTATAGGATGGGATTAACTCTGGCAGTACTGTCGTGAAAGAGAAGAAAAAATTTAAAATTGTAGCTTATTTACTTACTGTATACATTATGTTTCTCCCTGTCACTGTCATCTCTTAAGCTCCGTCATTCTATAGCTAATGTATAGTATTCTTCTAAGCAGTTTGCCACAGAGCACTTTCCACAATTATGTAACAGTTAACAATGTTGTATCGCAGCAGGAATGTGCTTCCTCCTGTTTCAGGTTAGCTATTATTATTAAGGCTGTTTTGTAACAACAGATGTGAAATTGTTTCCTTCACTATCCGTTCATAACACCTGGTTGACACTGAAAAGAATGCAAAGCATTTAATTAAATGTTTGGTCAGTGAAACAGGTATGCCTCCCCTATGACTGTCAAGCAGTCATTATAACAAATAGAATTCTTCTAGAATGAAGTGGAGTCTTTTCTAATTTGTTTTGTGTAGTCATACTTAGTAATACAGTCCTTTTAAAATGAACACCTACAACATGGTGATATTCCCAAGTTTGGCTATCTCTTGGAGACTCAAGGCAAGACACCACACAATCCTGATACCTTTTTCTGTATGGTGTGTCTTCATGTCAAGCTGCTCTTTTCGACCTGATGAGGCTCTCTGCCTGGAATCATAAAAGCTGTTTCTCTTCAGTTTTTTTTTATTAATCACTGTAGAACCAAAATGTTAACAACGTAATTTATTTGTTTATTGTGTGTGCTTTTCCGGCAAAAGTCCTGTTTGTCTTCCTCCTGGTGTAACCACAAAGGCTCGTCTTTCTGTCATGCTTAATTAGCCAAAATAGAGTCAGAGAGATACGGTTAACTGATCTTTGCCAAATTACTCAAGGTAAACCTCTATGAGTTTTAATGGAAAAGCTTTTTGCCATTTCCAGGCCAAGGATAGTGATGTTCTCAACTAAATATAATATGAAGCGACTGCTTGAGCTGCCAAAGTAAAATCCAAGAGGTATTAATCACAGGAGATGACCTCCTCTCGCTCCCAGTGTGAAAGTAGCAGGACTGTCAGGTTTGAATGGCACCAGCCTATGCTGGCGTTTGTCAGAATCAGGTACCTCCCACCACGGCTATTTTGAGACCTGCCCATATCTGTTTTTTCAGCCATTGCAAGTTAGACATAGAATCAAAACATAACCTGAGTCCTCTTGCATAACTATCGTTTCCTTTTTAGTGTGTGTGGCATTCATGTTCTGCACTTCTTGCTGGTCGGTGGTGCTTTCTTGCAAGACAGAAATCTTTTTTATTCAGATAAGCAAACACCGTCAATCAGGAAAACAGCAATTGAGCAAACACGGAAAGTTAAGAGATTTGTCTTTTAAGAGTTTTTTTTTTTTAAATAAGATCTCAAATAAAAGACCAATAGTAAAAGGTAAAAGTTTAATAAGAAAGCACTGGCAGCATGCTGATTTGCAGTGCATCTGTGTTTTGCTCTTTTTGAATGCTATTTTTATCCGTCACCACTGTGTATTTCTTAAGGGGTGGAGATTCAAAATTCAGGCATTTATCAGTGTACAAACCCCCTGTTGTGCTCAGGGCTGGCACATGGAAGTGCATTAATTAGCTTCTTGTGAGTACTTTATCATGGTTCCATTAGATATCTAGAGTTTTCTTTTCCCCTGCTGTGTAAGATGAGCCAAGAGTAACAGCTCACATCTCCACTTCTTCCTTCCTAAATGAGCTTGGTCATATGCATGACTGGGTATAGTGTGACCTGACAGCCTGACAGCACTGGTGTGTTTTCTGAAGGCTGCAGCACTGGGGTTTCTGTTTTCAGAAGAAAACGTGTTTCGTCTGGGGAAATACTGGCTCCGTTTTCTCTTTTTTTTTTAAGCTGCTTAATTAATATAATTTGAAATGCATGCACATGGGCTGAGTGTATGTCGTGGTGCTAACTGATCGGACTCCTAGGTTGAGCTCCATTGAAGGGACTGTGGAAATACTTCTCATACCAGCGTGCGCAGCCAGCTGATTGTAGCGCCTGCGCTGCTGGAATTCAGCTTCTCCCAACCACTGTGTGAATCGTTTTTGCGATCGCTTCAGGGGACCCTGGCATTCTTATAAATGCAACCATGGAAATGTGGAGCCTCAGCCAAATTTCTGACCGCTTAGTCTAGGAGCTAAATTAAAAACGTTCTGCTCCACTGGACATACAAGCACTTCCACAGGTTCTTCCTTGAACGAGCTGTATGCTGCAGCTGCAGTGAGCAGCCTTCCTAAGCAAAAGGACAGACAAAACTATGGTTTGTAGGGATTCTGCCAAGGAGTCGGGAATACACAGCAGTTCAGCAGCTGGTCTCTATGGCAGGGCTCTCCTAGTGCCCTGGTGTTGACTGGATTCACAGCGGGGCAGTCTCACCTGCTAGAGGGAGAGTGCCATGGCTTTCCTGTGTGGAGTCAGTAGCGCTTTCCATAATGATGAGGGTGAGTACGGAAAAGGCTGAAAACTTGGGAAGGAAATCAGGGAACAGAGTGTTTTCGAGTGTTTCGTTGGTTGACTTTGTAAGTCAGCTTCTCAGACCTGTGTGTCTGCCTTGAAGTGATGATAGAAAAAAAAACTAAATGACTTTCATGTGTAATGAAAACCCACCAGGGATAGAAAACCATTTGTAAGATGTCTTTTCTCTGCATTATTAACAGCTGCATTTTTTACATTATTTGCAGAAGCGCAAGCTGTCATTCAGTGAAAGAGGAAAATTGAATTTGCGCCCTACGTCTGTGCAGTGACTGTGGTTTACCTGCACACGAAGGGAGAGAATGTTTGAGCTCCAGTCATTCTGTCACTTGCTGGGATGGAATATGCCCAGTACTGGTTTAGATACAAATTATATTTTATAATAAATAAAGTGCGATTCATCTAGTTCAACCATTTATTTGGTTCTTGTTTTATGAAAGGTCTTTTGATTATGCTCAAAGCATTTTCTGATATGTTTGAGAGAAAAGAAAGTAATTACCCCTGTTTAGTTGTTGTGGGTGAGATTTGGAATTATAGTGATTGAAGGAATTCATTTCCCTGATGATGCATGCAATTTTTATAGTCAGCAATACTGGAGACGGCAATCATCCAAAACTGAAAAATTACATGGGTTAATATCCCTGGCTATTGACAGACAGGTACCACTTGGTGACTTACTGTACCTTCAGCCCTTGCTATGTACTATCTCTTAATTAACCCAACTGGTCAGCTTCCAAGTTAAACCATTTTTAAAAAGAAACACGCATTCCTTATTTCTCAGAATATACAACGTTTGCATCAAATTGTAGTTACAAAATGGATGCTTTAAACTGGATGCAAGTGTTTATTTTTTATGTGGGTTCCTCTGTGTTCTGGTTGGGGAGGGTTAGCAAATTTACTGTAGTCGTTGGACTCTGCAGCTTCCTTCTGTTTTAGCAGCCCATGTGCGCTCTGATGTAACTGGGTAAAAAAGCAACAGCATCTTAGCAGTAACCTGCAAAGCTCAGCAACACCGCTTTAGACTTCCAAAATCAAATGCAGGTATAAGTGTGTTTATATAAATATAAGCTTATATTACACGTACTGTACTGTACAGTATGTGTGTGTGTAGGCCATGTCAGCAGATCATTGAGAATCTTTGGATGGCTTTATGGGCTTCCTGCAGTTTTCTTGGGTCTTGGCAGAAAAGGAAAATGTACAACAAATTCCTCCACTTCCCACAGGAAATGAGAGGCAGAATGTGTCCAGCAGCGAAATGACCGCCGCAGCGTTTGCGGGTGGTATTGCAGTCTGAAGTGGAACCTGGAAGGCTTCCACTCACATCAGCTTGAATGCACTAAAGTGCAGTGTGAGGCTCTTGAGAATAGCCGTCTTGCTGTAAAGCTTCTTGTCCCATGTGGTGCTGGAGAAGTGCATTCAGTTCTCTTTTTGCAGCGGAATGACGTCTGCTAAAATAAGGCCACGGATGAAGTCCACAAAAAAAAAAGACCTTGAAATAGTGTAGGTTGATTTATTACAGAAATTGCTTGTAACTTTTTTTGTACCTGTCACAAATCTCCTCTTTTCAAGCTTTGTATACAGTTGAGCTTACTGTGCTTGAATTAAAGCAGTGATTTAAATCGATGCAATTTTATATTGTTCTTTTTACTATCTTTTTCATGTCAGTTTTTAAAGAAAACACACGAGAGGTACTTTAAAAAACCTTTCATTAACCCATATGGTTTAATCGTTTGCCGTCTTTGAATCTGTGTACTGTGGATTTAATGTTTTGACAGAGAGAAATGTATCAAGAGTGTCAGACAAACATAAGAGTCTCATATGTTGGCTCTACTCATGTACTTAATGGGGACTTATTTCTTCCTGAATCTTGAGTGCTGCTGGAGTATCATTCTGAAACAGAGGTAATGGTACCATTACATCTCTCAAATTACTGTATGTTTTGAAATTGTTTAGTTGAAAAAGCTTCAGCACATTAATTAATTCAACCAGGTGACATTAATTTCTATTGGTCTTTTCACTTCTATTTGAATTAGAGCTGTTATTACTCCAGTTATCTTGCTTAAGTATTGACCTACAGTATTACCATTGCAAAGAGGATGAATACAAATGGTATTGATGAAATCAACATATTTGAGTTAGTGATGTTTTACATACATTTGAATTCATTCACACAGGGAATTGTTCAGTTTGATCATAATCATAATATATTCAAAATGTGTATAGAAAGCATGATTTTTACAGTATCTTGATAAAATGGGACAGCTTTGAAAGGGGGTGAATACATTTGCAAGTCACGGTAGATATAGCATTCAAGTACTGTAGCTCATACAATATGAAATGCATATTCAAGCCCGTTCAATTTCTCAGTGAATAATAAATCAAAAGTCCATATGTACTCTCAAGTATCAGAGTATACTGTAATCGTTCCTTTAGCCTTGTGAATTTGAATGCCCTTAATTAAATGATCATCTGCAGTGCCTGAGATGGCTTTAAGATTTGCTGTACTGGCAGTGACATGTGAAGTCTTCTCATTTTTTAGGCGACTGATTTAAATTGGCTGCAGACAAGACCTGTGCATGTTGTTTTGCAATTGTTTTCAGTTTAGACGCAAAGCTGCTACCATGCTGACTTTTGGACATGTGGAAACTGTTGAACTCCAAGCCTGTTTTGGCAATACATAAAGCTGTATTTTGAAAAGAGGGTAGGGGGATGCGGAAAACATTCACCACCTCGGGTAAATGCGAAGGTATGTTGGCTAACAGCAGAACTGTTGCAGAGCGAGAGATTTCCCAGATCTGAAATTGTGACTTGTCCGCCACTTTTTAGCCAACACAACAGTCCAAGCTGGTGTGAAGGAAAGAGGGATGTTCACAATCTGTGTTTGTGGTTTTTTGCTCTGGACAAGAAGTACCAAGTGTTTGCCAATATAGGAAGCAAAGTGCATTGTATCACTTATATAGGATGCACTTTGCTGATACAATCTTTCTGTTGTGTTACAATTGTATATCAAGCCTTTTACCATCTGTGCAAGGTATTTATTGTCGTTATCTCAGTTGGTAATGTATTTAAATGGCAGAATATTTGAGTCTGATTGAGTTCAATGCAAGGAAATTGACAGGGATATAAATTGCAAATTGTCTCCTGATGAACCGGGGCTTAAAAGAGCTGTATACAACTTCTGCTAATTATTGCGTTTGAAATGTTTTTGAAGCTTTCCCAAATTTTAAAAACAAATGAAATTATTTGTAGTTCAGAATATGCAAATATTGTGTCAGTGTGGTTTGCAATGCAAATTTCACAGATCACATTTTAAATGCAAGGACATTTGCGTTGCACAGAAGTTGACTGTGAGTTCTGATTTTATTTTTGTCTGATTTAATTTTTCTGTTTCTGATCTTTTTTTTTCCCCAAACACAGAGAACGTTCCCTAAGTCATATTCTAATATAAAATGATATTTACTTTATTCCATTAAGATTGAATTCAATTCAGTAAATTATTGAGAACCAGAATAAAATTCTGACCAAGTCTCTAGTTCAAGTGCATCATTGTATACTGTATAAAATAATACATTTGTGGTGAAAATCTGAATGTGCGGCCTCTTTAACACTGGTTCAGTCGGTTGCATTTTGTTGCATCCCAAGTGAAATCTTTACTTAAAACGTGAGGTAGAGTTGCTTTGAGGCTGTCCTGATTTGCCATGGAATGACCTTGGGCTGCATTGGGTGAACTGTGTCCAGATATTTACTGCTTGGAAATGACTCTTGCTTCAACATCAATTGATTTCAATTGCATCTGAATTAAGAACGGTGATGAGGGGCTGATTAATTTTCTCAGTGTAATGCTCCCCAGTGACCCATTTCCATCTCTGCTGACAAATGTCTCAACTCGCGCCAAGGAGCAGGGCTGTAAATCGTCCGACTCCTGAAGGTGACGGAGAAGCTTCAGGACAAAGTCTCATCAAGATGGGTAGAGACTGAGCAGCCATCTCTCTTCACTCCTACAATACCTCCCGACCCACTATGCTTTGATCCCAGTGATCGGCTAATTGCTCGTCAGGCACAAGACAGAGCCTTCAGCACATCGTTATGTTTCTGATCGAGGGCAGTGAAGAGTGGAGTGTCTCTCTCTCTCTTTTGTACTACTGCTCTGGATAACTTAAAATGTGTTCAAATATCCATCAAGAGAAAACCAGCATCAAATACAGTATGTACAGCACCTCTTTACTCATCCAGATGCAGATTTAAATAGCTATAGAGAAAGAAATGTGATTCAGCAAGTCCCAAAGAAAAAAAACAATGTCATTATTATCAGATTTATGCATTTATTACACAAGCACAAATACTTTATACTTTTTATCTGGCAATGATGCAGAACTAAATAATAACATCATTCTTAATATTCAAGGATGTAGTTTTTCATCATTCAATTGGCAGCAAATTTTAATCCTTTTCAACTCCTGATACTGTCTAAAGTCTTTGAGGTTTTGAATAACTTTTAGGCTATGGATTATGGTGGGATGTGTATAAGATTAAGTCTTGAATTTGGATTACTCATCACAATACTAACCTGTTTATTTGACTCAATCTCCATCCCAGTGAAAATTTATTGAAATACATGGCAGGCTAATTTGTTCCAGTTGTACACTTTCATGTCCAGGGAACCTTAAATGCTTTTGTGCGTCGTTCGTAAGTGTCCCTCTTGGGTTCTCCACACTCATTTTTGTGCAGTAGAGATTTGCTCTTGACAATTAAAAAGACCATCCTAATAAAAAACAAAAAATCCTTTAGAAACTGGTCATCCAGTGCAATGTGGGAGTAATCGTTCTTCCTGTCTACCTGCAAAAGCAGGGTCAGTTGTTGAGCTTTTAGCATTAGGTGTGAACTAATTGTGAAGCTCAGTGTGGGTAATAGTGTTATAAATAAGTATAAATATTAAGTCCAACACTATATTTCTTCAGTATTATAACTTCAGTATAAGCCTTTAAAAGTTCAAAAAGTTTTAATCAAAGGTGTTATTCAAATAAATATGGTGTTACCAAATGTTTTACATCCTATGACTGTTGCAGTGCAAAACACCATGGTATTTAAATTGGATTTTTCTCCTTGAAGTAAAGAAGCCTGTTAAATTATTTATCCTAAGATGCCTCACGTGTTATTTTTAGTGATTTTAAGCAGTTTTAATTTCAAAGAAATTAAAAACTGATGGACTGAGTTGTGGATGGGCATACTCTTCTTGGTTTTGTTATAAAATCATCCTGTTTTATTTTTTCTAAAGAGGATGTGTTAATACCATATACTGTAAGTCCTTTTTTAGTTCCAGAAATTATGTAAAAAATAAGAATGACTTGTATTGCTTACCTCGTACATTGTACCCCTAAAGACATACTGAAAACGTTGTCTCGCCTGCAGATGAAGGGCCATACACCAAGCCATCCAACCCATCCAAACCTCCTGATGGAGCGCTGGCTGTCCGCAGGCAGAGCATACCAGGTAGGATTTGGGTGTTTAAGATGTGCTTTGCTTTTGCTTTTCTCTTCTGGGCTGTAGAGGCAACACTCTGCAAGCTCTGTAGTGCAGTGCAAGTACATTCCATTCATGTACTGTATGTTTTCACCGGATAGCTGCATCAGGGTGAAACCCACACTCAGATGTGTGCCTGGGCTCTCTGTTTTCAGATGTGTACGCTCAAGCAGCTCTAACTGTCCTCTCATCAGGTGATGGCAATGAGAGGCTTCTTTTTAAGTAGCGTGTGATATAAACATGTCATTGTCCATTTATGATTACACAATTGTCTCAGAAGAAGGTATTCAGTAATCTGCTTATAATTAAATGTACTAGGCTGTAATACAGTTTTTCTGTTGTGTTGCATAAAAAGATATGACAAATATTGGATATTACAGAAGCATCTAAGTTTTTAGTCCAGCAAACCTGTCTTTGAAGTAGTGGTTCCAGGCAGGCAGCTCTCACTTGTTGGTTTATGAAAACCAGACACTGCTAAGCAGACTTCCACATCCTCCAATAGGCACAGTTTTTCATCCAACAGTACTTCAGCATTCACATTTGAAAATTAAGCATCTTAAATAATGCTATTTACTTTGAAGTCTTTGAAGTACAATTTCAAATATATTTTGCCTATTTAGGGTACTAAAATTGTTAATTTTAACTGTTTAATTTAATCATTTTATTAACAAAATTATTTATTTATACTTTAAAAACATTTTATTTAGAAATCCATTACATTTAATTTCATTTTATTTTTTTCAACCCTGTACAGTATCTTTGTTTTAAGGACTTTACCGATGTTACACAACATACAGTAAACATAAGGTACAGAATAAGACAACAGACATTTTATTGACTTGCTTAGCAACTGTGAGATAATGGTGTCACGGTGATAAATGGTAACTGGAAGAACACTGAAACAAATATTGCTCCGTGGTCGGTCCTTCATTTCAGCATGCAAACTGGTGTGCACAGGATTTTGTCTTACTGTATATATTTGGTCCAATTGCCTGTTGTTTGCTGCACCAAGCACATTACAGAAATTATTTGTCCTAAATTAAGAAGTGGTATATATTCTTGGGGCATACTAAACCAAAAATGGAACAAATGAAAAGCATGAAAATCAAGAACTGCCTGTACTTACTGTATGTTGTCTAGTCTATAATCTTTTATACACGCTGAAACTAACATGGCCTAATAATAACAACAATAACAAAAGTATAATAACAGTAACCTAATAACAGTACTACTATAGTTAGCATATCTTATCAAACCTTGAAACTTAACTGTAACAATTTTGAAACAGAGAAGGTACCCAACGTCAATAACCTGTGCCACCTTGATGCATCTCAACTGCCCCCTTGTTGCTTAAAAATCTTAATTTTTAAAGTCGTAGGCCTACAGTGTCCTCTCTGAGCTATATTTTAACATATCTAAAACATACAGCATGAACAAAAGTACTGGTGAATTCAAAGATTACCCTGCTGACTTTGATAGCTAAAATGTTTGTGACTCCTGTACTGCAATTGCAGTAGATTAAATTAAGGAAATGTTACTGCTTTTTATATACTCTAGAGAATATGCTCCATAACCTGGATCACATGAGTATTTTTAAATGTTTTAAATAAAACTACTGTACATGCCAAGTTTATATTTTCCAAAAGTTGCAAAAATCTCACATTATTACATTATAAAACGATGAAAGGAGCACTTTTAATCTCAAACTAGAACACATCATGACATCTACATATAGTGATGCATTGAAAAATTCCTATTTTAATTAAATTTATAAAGAGGGTCAGTGTGCTTCCCTCACCAAAGCCCAGCTGAAAACATATGACATACTGTACAACATACTAAGAACAAATTTCATACCCACAGTACGGGCTTTCAACAGTTTGACTGCTGAGTGTCAATTGTTGCAGCTCTTTGTCAGAAACACTGGATGAGGAAAAAATCGATTCACAAAAAGATATGATAGTTGCGTATAAGCAGTAAAAAACATTCTCAAGTAAGGAATGTTTATGTTAAGAAACAAAGGAGCACAAAGATTAAACAGGATGCCATGTTTCTAAAACAGCTGTCGTTTAATTGAACGTCCCTCTATCACCCACAAAACATATAACCCCACCAAAAAAAAATATTTTTTGAATTTCCATGATGCTTGCTTAACTTTGTTAAGAGCTATTTACTAATATCAATACATGTATCAATAAATAAAGTTTGTACTGTGGAGGCATTTGACTTACACAAATCAAGTGCTGACAAAGATGTGAAAAGGTGACAATTTCTGGTTGAAATTCGGTGGATTAAAATCCCTTTATTACATGTAATTTCCTTGGCATATAATACTTCCCCTACCAGGCATACAGTACAAACTATAGTTTATATAAAGGTTATCTTATCTAAAATATATGGAGAATGTCAGTACTTCAGATTTTCTTGTGTATTTCTCAGTGTCAGTGAACAGGGTGAATTGTGTTTTGCAATCAATGTGTTATTGACAAGTGCCATCTCCTGTTAAGTGGCATCTGTCGGCTTTAACATATTCAAGGATTTATAGTCCCTTGAGTACCTACTTTGTCAGTGTTCACACAACAGCATTGACATACAGCCAGGGAGGTGTAGGTGAGAGGAAGCTCGAAGACCAACAGAAAACCCGCAGGGATACAGGGGGTAACATACAAATTCCACATAGCAGGAATCCCCACCTAGACTTGAACCCATGACCCAAGAGCTGAGGGAGCAGCACTGACCAGAATGCAGTCCTGCTTTCCAGATCCAACTTATGCTTATTTTGCTTTCCAACACCCACAGCTTTACAGAACAGCAGGAACATATTATAACAAAACTAATCAACCTCACTGCTGGAGTAAGGATACCGAGGCCTGCTTGTTGTGTAGTCAACCTCTTTTGCGAAGTCCAGGAATTCACAAGATGTGAACTGCGGGCCGTCATTTGTAATCAGTGTTTCTGGAAGGCCATACCTGGTGAAAACAGCTTCCTGTCTTTCTACAGTTGTTGATGACATGAGTATATACAGTATACTCAAAGAATTCCAATAACACTCATTTACATTCCTCCAGCGGAAAGTGTCTGTAGCAGCATGCTGCCATTGTCTTGATGGAGATGCTGTCATCTTCAAGGGCTCTGCTCTTATTTCTGATTTCTGAGCACACCTTTCCTCTAGTTCACATATCTGTCTTGCAGTACTTGGATACCATATGGTCTCTTGAGCTTCTACAATGCATTCATTCCCTGATGGCCTTGGTGAATCCTGTTAAGCATGGCTGGTCACATCAGCTCTGGAAACACCTTTCTCTACCATATGTGTGTCAATTTTGTTTTCTGCCTAATACCGGAGAAAGGGAGTTGGAAATCCCATTCTCTTCATACGCCAGGTTTCTCAGTCTATTTTTTTCAGCAGTTTGATTGAGTTGATATTCCCTTATCTACAGTACATACATTGTTTTTGTTGCTGGTATATGTTGCAAAACATGCCTAATACAGTTTTTGAGCGCTTGAAACGCAATGTTTATCTGTTTTATTTCTGTTGTTGCAGCTCTTTGTGGTAGTGCCACAATAGTGCATCTACTGCTGTTAAATATTTTCATGACTCAGGCATGTATAATTGTGTAACAGAATCTTGGAATCATAATCTTAATCTGAGTCTTAGAATTCGCATGGTAAATTGTTCAGCAGTCATTGATCCTGGCAGTGAGATCAATGTCTTATGATCTGTCCTGATAGTGAAGTCTAATCCCAGTAGGCCTGTCTCTATGTTTGTGCTTATTTGGATTCTTGACATGAAGTTTGTACTGTATGTACTCCCCATGAAAAAGCGGGCTTTCCCTTTTATGCTCCTGTTTCCGCCCACAGTCCAAAAACATACTGGTAGATTAGTTGGCTTCTGGGAACACTGGCCCTGGTGTGAGAGTGTGTGTTTGTATCTGTGTTTGCCCTGCAATGGACTGGCATCAGTTCTGGGGTGTACCCCACTGCTTGCCGAGATAGGCTCCGGCTCCCCCATGACCCCGGGTGTGATAAAGCAGTTAGAAAATGGATGGGAGGACTCTGTGTCAATGAAATGACACTGAAAAGATCCCAGGTATATCTGAAAGGTCTTTGCAAAGTGTATTTTGCAAAATCTTCCTGTGGCATCAAGTTTCGAGAAGACCACAGCACTTGTTGACTGTATTCATACTCTCTGGCAGGGGGCACATTCCACTACTGCCCGGTGGCTCTGCTAAGTTATTAATTTGTCCACTTTAGCTGTGTACTGCTCAGACCTGCTGTTGTTTTTTTTATTTTCTGCAATGGTGTCTACAATTGCCCTCAGCTCTTCAACTTCCTGTGTTTTGTATATCAGCCTACTGTTGTTATCCTTGTGACATGTCTTTGTGTTGTGTGACTGGCATGACTGCCTTCACTGGCTTCCTTTTGAGTCAAGTTGCCAAGTTGTCCTGACAAATGGCAGTCTCATATCCCTACTACAGTTCTGTCTCTGCTCATTTTGTCTGCAGCTTCCTGTATTTACAGTGCTCTGCTAGTCTGAGAACGTATGTTATAAAGCACCCTGCTGTCTCCCCCAGCTCCTTGCAGCACTTATTGAATTTTATGTTTTGTAAATAACGTGTTTCCTGACAGAGTGCTCTCCTGACATTTTTATCATTTCATTGTACTGTACTGTATTTCTTGCTGATCTGTCAGAGGGAGAGTATGCTGGATGTGATCTACCTTGTCACCCATAAGGAGCAAATTGATTTGATATGTTTGCTCTTTCTCAGCTAAGCTAATAGGATAAATGCTTTTTAGTACTACAAGTGCTACACGTTACATTAATACTTACTGTTTAACAACAGGTACAAATTTCAATGGATTTTTTGTGTTATTGCATGCAGCTTCTGAACGCTTTTTTCTATGATAACAAACCTTGTCCATTTTTATCCATTTTATGGATTTATCCATTTTATCCATTTTAAGCAGAA